CCCAACTCTCAGACCTTAGAGTCCAACACAAGGTGTGACTTTGCTGTGTTTGCCTTTTGGGGTTGAATAACATTTTACTTTAAAAATAGAAATGTTACTTCAAGAAAACAAAGCCAGTACAACTTATACGTTATAAACCAATGTTAGCTCAGAAAAATAAAACAGACAAAGAAAAGAAACCCAGCAAGGTGTGAGCTGTGGGTGGAACAGGGGGCTCAGTGGAACTAACCTAACAGGTGATCTGATCAAAAATTCCTGACCGGACAGGGCATGGCGGGGAGTCAGGCCCCTGACACATAACTTCTCTGGTGAAAGGTTTATCTTTGCCTTAAGCAAGCCTGTCCATTGTTCTTGTGCAGGTAGGTTAACACGTCCTTGAAATACGTAAAGTGATATCCCCTGAAGAGGGTGTTACCCCTCAAGAGAGCACTTAATCTTAACTATCCTGTCATCCCATCCCCACCTTGCTTTCTCCCACCTTCCTGTAATCTTTCTTGCGTCACCTCCTGAATTTCAAATGCATGAAAGAAGCTACAAAACGGTTTTCCTCCAGAGCATTTCAGATCTTGCTCCCCAGCATATGTTGTCAGTTTGGCTCAAATAAACGCATAAAAATTTTCTACAGGGCCGGAAGTTTCTCAGGTCGACTGTGTAAAAAGCCCCTGAAGGCTCACAGAATTAAAGGATTGGAGGTGGAGGGTCTTTCTGACCTCCCGGCATTTCCCTAACTTTCTAAGGGCACCCAGACCCTGGGAGATGTTTGCCCCCCAAACCCTCTCCAAGTCACAGCCTCATTTTTTCCCTGCAGTCTCAACTTTCACCTTAAAGATCCAATTTAACTTCTCATTCAAATTATTCATATATATGTGTTTATATTTATGTGTGAATAATCTTTTCAATTCCCACCTACAAGAATCTTGAAACACAGTAATCCTCTGAAGTTACACCTCCTTTCACATCCCAGGGGTGATCAAACTTTAGGGAGAGAAGCATAGAAGTGCAATGTCCTGATGTTACAGATGAAGCAACCTTGGCTAAGAGAGGGGCAGGAAGTAGCCCAGGGTCACACAGCAGGTCAGGGACACAGCTGGGAAGAGGTTTCTGGAGCCAGGCCTGGTGAGCTTCCTACCACCAGCTGTCTGTCTACAGCGCTTGGGTGCGGAGGGCCTTCTCCCACCGTTCCTCAGAGAGCACCTCCATCAGACCCGAAACTCACTGAATCAGAGATCGGAAGTCCAGCCACCCCTCACGGCTGTGGTCAGACACCAGGAGCTTGGTTTTCAGAGCGGGACACTCAGAAGCCACAGAGTCCACCTCCGGGGCAAGGGCATCTGTGGTCACGATGCTCTGGGCATTAGACTCCTTTAGTCGGTAGAGAATGTCCTTGGCCTTCATCTGGGTTGTCCCTGGCATGAAGATAATCCCTGGGGATGAGAAAGAAATTATCTGTTTCATTTCCTCTTTCACAACCATGGGCTTCAGGCCTGGCTTATCAGCATAGAAATCCTGTAACCCCTTGCTATGCAAAGACCTGTAGTGTCAGCACCACTCGGGCCAACCCAAACCTACCGAATCAGAACCTGCATTTTTAAAATTTTGTTTAAAATACATTTTCATTGATTTCAGAGAGGAAGGGAGAGGGAGAGAGATAACCTTGGTGATAAGGGGGGCGAAGAGAGAGTGAGGGAGAAGAGAGAGTGAGGGCAACCCAGGCACGTGCCCCAACCGGGAATTGAACCATGACCTCCTGGTTCATAGGTCAATACACAACCACTGAGCCAAGGGGACAGGGCCAGAAACTGCATTTTGACAGGACCTCCAAGTGATTCCCACGCACATTAAAACTTGAAACGCTTGCCCTAACCTGTCTACTCTAGATGGGTGCAGCCAGTAGACAGGTGGATCCTACTTTGCAGGAGTTTACATGGGACCTGGGAGCACAGATGCAAGGAGGACAGAGTCTCTGACATCAGGAATAGCTGCATCCCAGCCCCCGCTTTTCTCCTCCCACCCCCTTCTCTCATCCCTGTGCCATTGGGAATCCCTTCTTTCCTTCATCCCTCACATCCAAATGAACCACATTGTCTCTTGAACTTTCCTACCCTCCCTCCCATCTTCTTTCACCAACAATTAGTTCCAGTATCTGTGTGCACCCACTGGATTCTAATCTCCCCACCAAATGCCTTGCCTTGAACTTCTGTGTTATTACCTGGGTAAGTTCCCCAGAGCATCGATGTTCCCCCAGCATTTCCTGTTGTTAGGACTAGAAGGCAATACAACCTTGACAGCCATTTGTAAGCTTCTGGCCACAGGAGAACAAAGACCAGGAAATGCTTGCTGGACACCAGGAAGCAGACCATGTAAGGAACTGGAACTGTCCTGAAGACCCCTGATCGCACACCTGCACTCCATCCCCATTCCAAGCCCACCAGCTCAGCCCCCAAACCCACTGACAACAAGAGATTCCCACTCATGACTGCACATCAGGATGAAACTGCAGCTCCTGGGTGCACCTTCAGCCCCTTGGCTCCTGGCTGTGCAGCCCTTCCCTTTGGATATCCCACCCCAACTTCTTTTCCTTAAATAAACCCAGTTTTCTTTAATCTCTTCTGAGATGGCCATTTAGCCTGACTGCCCACCACGTTCACCTTCACTTCTCTTCACTAACACCTGTGTCCTCTCTCCAGGAAAACAGCCCGCTCCCCATTGCGACACTGAAGATGCTGTCCACGCTCCACCTTTCTCCCCACACCTCTATTCTCTAATTCAAAATGGCCATTCACATAGCCAACTCCTGACTCTAAGCCTTTGCATGTGCTAACCCCTTTCTTAGAATTCCCTTTCTCTGCTTCTACTCCTCTTTAGTTATGCTTTTCCCAGAGGGCACAGCTCACGTCTTGAGTTTCTCATGGGCCATCTCTTAGCTCTACAGGTGTCATGGCTTCTTCATGCTCCCTCTGCTGTTGCTATCAAAGTTTGATTCCAAAGGAACTAGATGGATTAATCAACTATTTTATGAGGAAAAAAGAGAGAGGAATATATAAGCAAGAGCATGAACAGACTGTGTGATTTAAAAAATCCATGAGTCCCATTGTAATTCTAAATTAGATAGGTAGATAGATAGATAGATAGATAGATAGATAGATAGAAGGGAAAGGAAAATATCTACAGAAGAATGTTAACTAATGAATGTAGAGGGGGTGATATAAACAGAAAATCCTCATGTAAAACCACCATAATAATATTCAACTCAGTGAAGAATCATCAGGAGATACTCAAACCATGGGGTGAAAGACAGTGGGGGAGCAGGATAGTCACTAGTCTCATA